ACCATTTGCAATTCAGCGCTAAGTCCTTGTAGGTCATTTGTATAATCCTTTGCTACGTTTTCAGGAAACTTTGAACCTATAGCATTTGTAATATAGTCGCATAGTTCTGTGTATGTTAGTGTGTAAGGAATAGCAGCTGACGATAAAATGGCTTCTATAGGTTTCATTGAAGTTTCGATGTTCAAAGCTTTCTTAATCCTTTTAGGTGCAGATTTCTTTGGAGCAGGAATTATTATTTTTTGATTTTCTGACTCTATTATTTCAGGAGATGTTGACATTTGTCTTTTTATAGAAGTGTGTGATATTATGTTGGTATTATGAGATAGTGATTCAGGTAGGTTTTGTGAGTGGGAGGAGGTATTTGGTAGTGATCTGGTTGAGGAAGTAGCAGCAGGAGTACTGGATTGATGAGCAGTTGGGGTTTCTGATGTAAGGGATGTTTTATTTATTGGATAATTTTCTGTTTCAGAAATATTAACATTTATAGATTGAGATAGCTGGTCAATATTTTGTAAATTAATTGGTTCGATAGTGCAGTTTTCATCTTTGTGTCCTGTGGTATTACATTTAGAACAATTTAGGCCATCTAAGGAAAGATAAATTCTGTAGGGGGTATTGTCATGAGATATTAGAAGTGAATTTGGGATATGATTATTAGTTGTTGGAGCAACAAATACTTGACGTCTAAAGCTTAATATATGATTGTATTCAGATTCAGGCATGCCAACTTTTAAAAATGTTATTTTAGACACTGCAATAAGCTCCAATTTTTTGAGCTCTTCTTCGATAATAGTGTTTGGAATACTGGGGCAGACATTTGATATCACTAGTCGGCTTGCAGGAGTAATTAATCTTCTAATTTCTATGTCGTTTCCTTGTATTGAAACGGATTTGTGATTATGTAGTAATTTTTCTAGGATTGTAGTGTTACTGAGATATATGCATACTCTGTTATTTGAAATTCTGGACGCGAAGATGATATTTTTTGGTTGTACTAAAGTTCCTATTGCTGTTATGTATTCGTGTATTTTTATATCTGGTACTGATGACAAAACAATTGCTTGTTCTTTGGATGGAAAGTTAAAGCTGCTTACGGCATTAGAGTAGGTTAATCTTGAAGAAGAGGTTGGTGTTGAAGATGTTAATAATGGTTTGGTGATTACTGTGTCTGTTTTTAAATTGTTATCCATTTTTAATTTTTAATTTCTTCATTTAGTATAATTATACTAGAGCCGCTACTGACTTAAGGTAATTAAGCCGGCTTATCGGCGTTTTTATTTGAAATAAAAATAGATCTTCTGTTTAGTTTTCAATAATATTCTTAAAATGGTTTTATCTGGATCAAATAAAAATTGTACTTACAATTTTTCTTTTCTGTAATTAGAAGACACTTTAATTTCACTCTTAGTACAAACTTGTATTTAAATTTTTGGTATAAACCAACAAAAAACACGTTTTATTCGGAGCTGAAATTTATCGACACTTTACTAATGAGTCTCGATTCGAGTTCAACTAAAATATTGTAATACCTGATTTTGTTTAATTGTCCTACAATTTAATCAGTGACGTGCAGAAACTAATATATTTTATAAATTAAAAAGATTTTAAGATGTTACAATAAATGGAACTAAGTCCTTTAGAGTCTGGTTTGTTGTTAATAGCATTATCTGTCCTGCTTATATTGCACATTTCGAGAAACAGCCTATTTTTGTAATTTGAGACTGATTGTATTATTTTTACAATGTCAAAATCAAATTAATGACCTGTCTTGATGGAATGTTCGACAACAGCGCATATATTTTTTCCCCTTCTGCAATCACTTCTGTGTTGAGTGACCCGTTGTTTCAACCATTGTCCGGTTTGACAAATGTAGCATCCCTGGCATCCTAAACATTGCAATTTGTAAATGACGTTACTATTGTCCATGGTTGGTGTATGATCTTATATAGACTTAGGATAACCGTTGTTAAGAAATAAATCACACAATTTGGTCTTATTTTTATGTAAGAATTGCTCATCACTGATGTGTTCTATCCTGTTTTTTATTGCAATCGGTTTTTGATACCAGTCTGGTATGATACGATTGTCAGATTGACGGCTGACTTTAGTGTCTAGAAATGGTACACTATTTTCCTTCTCCATTTAAACAGTGAATTGTATGTTTTTATTGAAGGAGTTAAAAACATGTAATGTTTGGTGTATTTGATCTTGTGGAACAGCGCAAATTATGTCATCCACGTATTTGTACAAGAAAGGTAGATTGAATGGTAATTTTGTGACAACTGTTTCTATTAAATGATCAAGCACAATTAGATCTAATATGGGACTGATAGGACTGCTGCCCATGGGTGTTCCAAAAATTTGGCGGTAAAAGCTATTTTTAAAGGAAAAGTATGTATTTTGGAAAACGAATTTAATTAAGATTAGGAAATTTGGTTTTGTTAATTTTATGTGATCTTTAATATTCTCCCATTTTGTAACTATTACATTATTAGTACATTAGTACATTATCCAAAATATTGGTACTAATGTAACAGTTTCTGTCATCCTATTTTTAAATTCTCGTGATCTAATATACATTGATAATTAGTGATAAAGTCTCCTCTGAGTATTCCATCCGTTAGAATAGGAAAGTTATTTTCTACCATTCGGAAGGTATGTGCAAACCAATTGCCACTTACATCTAGTGTTGTTTCGATTTCTCTCATTGTTTGTAGTTCTCCTCGGATTACTTCTTTTATTCTTGCTCTTGTATCAGGTCTTACCTGTTCCCGCATAAGTCTTGTAAGCATTTAATTATAGAAATACCTGCTCCCGTGTCTATAAAAAATGTATTTACTTGGACTAAGATTCCTGTTTTTATTCCTAAGAAGTTTGTTAGGTTTAGGTCGAAATTGTAGATGTAGTACTCTGTCTTATATGGATATTGATTGTTCAAAACCCTAACTGTGGATTTTCTGAGACTATCCTCTAATTCTAAAAACCTTACGTTTCTGTTAAATCCCCCTCTTGAGTTTTCTCTGCTTGATTATTGAATTGTTTGTATCCTTCTGTTAGTATGGACGGTGATCTTTTATTTACGCATTTTGCTGAGCGAAATTTGGATATCTCAACATGTTGTATCCATTATGATATTATCTTTTGTACTGGCATTTTCCTTTTTTATTTTCAAAGTTTATTCTATAGTTTAACACTATTCCACGTGTATTGTTCTCCGTTGAGTCTATCGATAAAATTCCGACATTATTCTAGAGGGGGTGTAAAGTTATCTGCATCTAATATTAGCTTAGCTTTGTCTGTTTCATTGTAGCCAACACTGTTTCTGTTGTGTATTTTTTTGCCAAATCTACTGGCATTTCTTCTGTTATGTATGCCACTTTTAATTGTTCGGCTAGTTCATCTCAGATGCGTACACAGCTGCATCCTTATATCCTTTTTTTCTTTTCCTCAAATTTAGCTATCACTATTTTCGGGCTGTCACCTCTGAGTTATCTCTTCAATTTTGCTTTTATATTTAAGATAATGTTTTCTGTGGTTATCAGGTTTCTGGCGATGGTGGTTAATTTTGTTTTTATGAGGGTTATCGCTATTTCCTTTGTTCTACCGCTATTTTCTCCAAAACTTCGAGTGTCTCTAAGAAATTTTGTAAACAATGAAAAGAGCCATGGTTTCTTCTTGTTCCGTATCGTTTTGTTATTCCTCTATATTTTCATTAATCTGTTGAGTTATCAGAATAGGAACTAATTTTCTGGACTTTTTCGCTTGGTATGATTGTATAACTATATCTCGTATTTTACTAAAATATCTCCTAGAGATATCTCTTCGAATATCGGTTAAAGCTTTCCAATTTTTATTTATAAGGCGTACGAACTTATTGTATGCTTTAATTTAGTGTGTCGTTACCTTAATGTTAATATCCTTGCTTTTAGGAATTTCTTTTGTCAACTGCGTGTGTCCCTGATTCTGTATGAAAAAAACTCCAGTTAAAGAATAACATAAATAAGAATTTGACAATAACGTGATGTAAAATATTACTACTGTTATTTATGAATTTTAATATCTTAGAAATAATATCACAGTTCTAATGAAAAACGGGATGTGTCACATTTTCCAGTTAGTAACCCATACCAGTATGACACGGTTACGTTCTACCAGTCAGTCGAGCTCCTCTCGGCATTCCGATACTAGTCTAGAGTCCATATTGGGCGTCTAAGAGCTCCCATAGCTGCTTAAATAAAAAAAATTAAAATGTTTTATTGTAAACAAAAAACAAAGCGGGACTTGTTTATCAACTTAAAATTTCGGCACTATGTATATCAAGATGCAATGACTCTGATAAAGTAAAATTCGTGTAACCTTTTCTAGTTACTCTTGTATATAACTTTGCAATTGATACGCTACTATTACTACTATATATTTCTTAAGGGCGTTTTAACGTTACCTCCAATTCTGTTTTTACACTCTTTAATCTGGACGTAAGTCATGTTGCACTTTTTATAAGTCAGCAAAGGCCGTTTAAAAATTATAAAGTGACATGGACACTCAGTAGCGCCGTATGTTAGAGAATAACATGTAAAAGAAAAGCGGTAGAAAATGTTACACCACACCTGAAGGTGAAAATTACATTGATTAAACGGATATTAATGGTGATACAAATTATCTAAAATTGAAAATTTTTCCAAATAACGACGATTTAAATATATGGGTTTTATATTTATATATGGGTTTTACAATGTAAGAAGCAAATAACTATATTTATAAAGTAAATATGGAAACGTCTAACAAAGTTCATTTCAAATGGATTGTTAACCTAAAATATCATTTAATATTAACAAAGTTATCTAAATAGTACGTGAAGCCGTTTCTGGACGTTATAAGAAAGATATAAAATTATGCATGTGATGTACTGTAAGCATTTGATGACGACTGTAATTAGTTTTAGATTAGTTTTTAAATTCTGACTCATTCACATTCAAACTTGATTCAGTTCAGTATTTTAGGGATCCAGAATGGGCGCAGAAGCTGTAATGGCTCTGATGGAATCGACCGAAGAAACTGAAGCTTGTGTTATTTCTCTAGATGGAAACCAAGCTGTCAGAATACCTTTGATGGAAGGTGTCAAGCAGACTAAAGCTGTGGCTAAAGTAAGTAGAGATCTTTTTTTTACTTGTTGAATGTAGTTCGTTTCAATCCAACATAATTTTGAGTGATTACGCTTATTAGTCGCGCTACCTCTCAAAATATATATCCAGATACTGCATTATTCCTATTCCTATGCGGTGTCTGTTTTCCTATTACATGTCTTCAGAATTATGTCATGTGTTTTTTAATTTGTCAATTTCCATAGATTCTAATAAAGATAGCTTAGCTATCTATCTATATCTATATATTATCTATTTATCTGTAATAGATAGATATGTATATATATATATATATATATATATATATATATATATATATATATATATATATATATATATATATATATAGGGTGAGTCACGCTCAACGGGACGGAGCCTACCGGGGAAATGGCTAAATATATTAAAAATTCCTTTTGTAGGAATACGTAGGTCAGTACCGGCTACAAATTAAAATTTGTGAGATATATACAGGGTGTCCCAATTTGGCGTAATGATATAAACTTATACTTTTTTAAATGGAATAACCTATATTTCACTTTAATTTTGAATTCTACTGAACAAAATAATGTTACTTTATTCAACATTCCCTATACCTATTTTTGACCGGTTTCGATTTATTTGGGTTTTTCTGAAAATGTACTATTCGCGAAATTAATTAATTACACAATATCGCATCAATTATAATTAACGCCTTTTTTGCAATTAATTTTCAAGTGTCCATGCTTTACATCAGAATAATTACCAATTGAAATTAATCTACAGAGTGTTCGCAATACGAAGTGTCAATGCTGTATAATAGTTTGTGTAATTACTTTATTAACTTAAATGGGACACCCTGTATTTTACTTTAATTTTGAATTCTAATCAAAAAAATAATATTACTTTATTAAACAATCCCTATACCTATCCTTTATAATTTTCGATTAATTTGGGTTTTTTTGAAAATGCACTATTCTTGAAATTAATTAATTACACTTTATTACATAAAGTTAAACAAAACACACTAGAAAAAAATTAATTTACATTAAATGTTCAAAATGGTGTCCATTTTCTTCAATACATAACCTCACTCTGTGTTCAAAATTTTGTTTTACTCTTCTTAGCATTTCTGGAGTAACTGTTGCAAACGCATTACGAATACGCGTTTTCATGTCTTCAGCGGTTGTAGGTGGAGTTTGATAAACCAAACTTTTAATATATCCCCAAAAAAAGTCCATTGATGTTAACCCAGGTGATCTAGGGGGCCAATTGACAGCACCACCCCTACCTATCCACTTTCCGGGAAATTTTCTGTCTAAATATTCTCTAACGTTACGCGTGTAATGTGCTGGAGCACCGTCTAGCTGCAGAAACATTGTTCTTCTAATATTTAAAGGGATAATTTTGCAAAACTATCCAAAAGTCTCTTCGTAGAAATCTTAAAAACTTTTGTCCATTTAAATGGCCATTAAAAAAAATACGGTCCTATCACATGTTCTCCTATTATTCCACCATATACATTAAGGGACCATCGGTTTTGTCGATCAGTACATCTATATTCATGTTGATTTTCCGTATTATAATAGTGAAAGTTATGTCGGTTCACGAGTCCATTATTATGGAAAGTAGATTCATCAGTGAACAAAATTTTATCAAAAAAATGTTGATCTGCTCCCGTTTTGTCTAGAAACCATAAACAAAATTCTAACCTACGTTCAAAATCAGTTTCATACAAATGCTGATGCATTTGAATATGGTATGGGTGATATTGATATTTTTTAAGAATTCTGCATATACTAGTTTGGCTTACTTCAATCTCCCTGGCCATCGTCCTTGTACTTGTATTTGGATTTTCAATAACTGATTGAATAACTTCTAATTCGGTATTTTCATCTTCAGTTATCGGATTTATTAATTTTCGTTTAGTATAAACAACAGTGCCAGTTTCACGAAACCTTGTTAAGACTCTGTCAAATACTTCTTTACGAGGATGACGTTTTAAGGGAAATCTCTCAGCATAGACTTTTGATGCTAACAAACTGTTTTGATCACATTCACCCAGTATTAAAATCATATTTACTCGGTCTTCAATTGAATAATCTGCCATTTCTATTTAATTGAAAGCAATACAGTTAATAGTTTGACAATTAGTTTGACAGCTAGGTACCTTTTGTTTTTTCATGGCATTCTTTATAATAACGAGCTATGTAATTAATGACATTTAATGTTCCAGGTAACATAATGCAAATAGATTTGAAGATACTAGATATTAATATAAAATTTTATAATAGTTTAATTATAATAATTGTTACAACATTCAAATACAGGGTTTTTGTTTAAGTTAGAGTAGAACTTTATGTAATAAAGTGATAAAAATTAATTAATTTCAAGAATACATAGTGCATTTTCAAAAAAACGCAAATAAATCGAAAATTCTCAAAGATAGGTATAGGGATTGTTTAATAAAGTAATATTATTTTTTTAATTAGAATTCAAAATTAAAGTAAAATACAGGGTGTCCCATTTAAGTTAAGAAAGTAATTATACAAAATATGGTACAGCATTGACACTTCAGATTGCGAACACTCTGTAGATTAATTTCAAATGGTAATTATTCTGATGTAAAGCATGGACACTTTGAAACGCTCAATACTCCGGGAGTATTGGGTTTTTGGAAGTGTAGAACTTCCAAATTTCAGAAGAACTGAAAGAGAAGTGATGAAAAAAAAAATACTAAAAATAGGGCTAAGCTCAGAGGAACAAATTTAAATGGCCAAAGAGACACTAAATCTCAAGTGAGTGTTCGGGCTAGCTTCAATGTACTGGATTGTGGCTTTAAAGATTTAAACAGATAGCAAGGATACTGAGCTAATGAGACAAGAAACGAAATGAGACCTGGTAATATCAAACGTGATACAACTAAAGAAGGTAACTGGGAATAAATTTATAGAAAGAGAACAATAAGAAGAGAAAAGAAGGGCGCCAACTCAACGATAGTTGAGATTTTGAAGTAACAAATGAATCTGGAGGTAATACTCTGAAATACAAAAATACTAAATATTAATCTTGTTTTGCTATGTTATATACTGGTTAGTAGAACTGAAATAAAACTCAAAATAGCAACAATAAATATATTTATAAACAAATGTATATAGGTATATGTGTATAAACAATTTACATATAATGCAAAGCCAAATAACAGTGGTAGTGGATGGTGTACAGATACAATAGGACCTAATAGCCCCTCAACAAATGAATAGTCACTACCACTGGCCAAATAAAATATGAAATATTAGTATACAACAAGAATAGTCCGTAGGGTAGCCTAAGTCTTAACACAAAAAGGTAGTAATTTAACTTAAATAGTTCTACTAATATGAGATACTAATGACAATATTGTAAAGATATCACACTTGATAAGTCTATTACAATTATTATATTACATCCAAAAAATGAGTTGTTCCATACTCATTATATCATATTTAAAAAAAAAACCACATGAAATTTATTTCCCTCCCCAATTAAAATTTAAAAAAAAATATTATATCAAAAGTGAATTCTAATAAAAAATATATTAAATCAACAAGTGAGTTCGGTCAGACTCGGTATATCCTAACTAAAACCTAATAACACATGAAGTGTACCTTTTTCCTCCCCGAATATTTTATAATTAAATTATCAAAAAAATTAAATTATCAAAAAAAAAAATTATCATAAAGGTATTTACCTTATCATATGCATATGTAAAGTTAACAGTAAATAGAAAGTAATACATAATACAAAAAGTCAAATAGTTAAACAACTTATCTTTACAGCATTATAAGTCCATAGGAAAAACTCCTCTTGGCACGGTTACATCAGTTTATGGCTGTAAAGACGAATCCTATGCACAAAACCACAACCAGTCACTGGTCTCTGGGTGACAGCAAAATCCACGGCTTACTAACTATTTAAGGATTTAGTTACTTGAGTCCTTGAGGGAATATTCTGAAGAGAATATCCTCAAGTAAAGTGAAATTAATATTTTCACGTGACGGAATCTAAAATTATTATTTAATTTAATAAATATGTAATATAAATGTAATTTAATAGGTGTAGCAGCATGGATTGACTGCACCAAAACAAAACATCAAAACATTAGGTATTAGGTTAAGTCAACATCATGTCAAATTTATGAAGTTACTTTCGTAGGCATGGCAAGCTTGCGCCATGAAATAAACATGCGCAGAATACAGAAGGCTGTCCCACATTTGTAGAACCTTTTTATATTCCACCAAAAAAAGTTAGGTAAAAGGGGAACCAAAAAAAAACTTACTGATAAGATATGGAATAGATCGGACTTTAAGTTTGACTATATAAAAAAAATGACCTTCTGTTCTTTGCAAGTAAATCAAGGAAATTTTATATTTAAATTATTTCGGAACTCAAAAATAAATCTCTAAAGAAATACTAAATACAATGATAAATTTGATTATATGATAAAGAGATAATACGTATAAAATGATTTACTTACATGGAGCTCGCAGCACGCCCAAAAAAAACTCTTCCTTTTTATGTGGAACTCTTATAAATCAGAAAATCTTGATTTTAAAAAAATTTACTTATTATATTATTATTAATGAATTATATTCTTCCCCAAATTATTTTTCTGCTCCAATTCCGTCACTTTGAAGGTGAAAAATTTCACCGATCGACGTGGCTGCGTGTAAGTTCTGACCAAAACTGATCGTTTTCGTACAAACTCGACCAATCTTTCAAAGCGCTAACGGCGTGGGTGGAGAAATGTCGATTTAAAATCGATCGTAGGCGGGTAATAAAAATTTCTAATCTAAAGGGGTTAATCAGTAGCGTAAACGCTACATTCTCCCTCATCTCCAGCAAAAAAAAAGGAACTTTAGGAACTTTTTTTTTTTTTTTTTTTGTGGCAGAACGATTTAACGCTGGGTCGACAATGAACGTTGATACGTTAAAATTGAACATTTTCGTAACCAGTCAACCATTTGCTCAGGAATTGGAACAAAATC